AATCATATATATATATATAAAGCACTTTGAATTCCTCCTGAGCACTAGTGAAATGTTAGACTTGACAGCATCTTGTTTGCAGCATGTATAGATTACATCCAGAGTCGTTGTAGAGCACTTACATTCAATATGTCGATGATTTCAATGTGGGAGTGGTCCAGAGTCCAGAGCGCTACATTGGAAAACTAGCTTCTGACCCCATGTCAGGGCGAATGCTAACCGAAGCTATGCACTACTCAACATGAATAATGTATTACATGACATGGTAACTGGATCACATAATATGTTAAATGAACTAAAGAACATGGTATAAGCATTACATAATACATGTATGATAAATGCACATGACTTGGTAAATGCACCATAATATGATGTGCACAACATGATATGTTTAATGCACCACGTATTATAATACATTCACTACAAGACATAATGAATGAACCACATAACATGGCGAATATACCGCAAAATATGATAAATGCACAACGTGACATGATTACCGCGCAACATGAAATACTGTAGGTTTTAAGATAGACGTGTCTTTCTGATACATACCATAATCTTTTGAGAGCAGAGAGTCAAGTTGTTCTTGTGCTACATGATGCACGTGGAGTTGGTGAAATTACTTTAGAATTTGACCGATTTTGTTGTCATATCGAGTCACATAGTTGAAAGATCTTAATAAAGACTCATTAACGCTCATTATACTGGCGGACTGTAATGCTGGGAACGGCGTGCACATTTTAGCGGGGAAGTTGTTTGGGAATTCGACTGTCATAATGAAAGCTCGAAGAAGTAAAGAAAGAAATCGTAAACGCTCCTTATACTAGCGGACTGGCGTAAATCATGTACAGGTCATAGGTCAACTACCGAATCATTCAACCAATTAAATGCTCCAAATGAAAATAACTTCATGCGACTGGAATAGGAGAGTCGACAGGTGATATATCATGTGTGACGTACCTTGGCAACGCTATATGTTTCGAACTTGAAGCGGGTGGGTCGTCACCTGCGCACGAGCGGGAATTGAGTTCCAAGCGATGATAGCAACACACGCTAAAAACGCAAAGGCTCATGGGTTAACGCTTGTTTGTAAACAATGACACGTTATGGCCATCTGACGCATGCGCAGGTGACGACTCCCCCGCTTTAATTTGATTCCTCGCCTACCATCCACTCTGGTTATATATATTTTCTCGGACCCTCTTCTACATTATTACCTGATATTTTCATAGTAACTCTACTATTTGAGGAGTTTTAGCAGATCAAACTTCTTCTCCAAACTGACAATAAGCACTTGACAATTCCGAGTCGTTTTGCAAAATATATAAGAGACGAAACCAACCTCTGTGTGACAAATGTGAAAAAAGAATTTGATCACATTTCATTGGTGAAACTACGGATGCTACCATACACAGTAAAACTAGATTTGTTGAAAGTGAGGAAAAGAATAATAAATTCTTTCCAACTGTCATGAATTTGTTTTTGCGTATCTGTTAACCGACTTAATTAGTTGATTATTAGCTGAATTGCTGTGTTATGTCTGTCATCGTTTAGGCCTATTTGAAGTTTTGGACGGAACTTGGCTCAGTGATTTGGAACTAATTACCAGATAAACGTCGTGATTCTGACAGTTGGTATCCATAGTTATTAATGTAGTGAACGATTAATCAAAAGATGTGAGTCGTATTCAGTGCTTAGTGTGATTGGCTTTATGATTGAAGGTTACGCCCTAGAGTCTTTTTACTGCTTTGTAATTGGTTAGAGTTTTGAAAATGAATAAAGAGAGTTTGAGTTGGTCTTGAGGAGCACAGCACGATAGAGGCAGTCCTGGGCAGTCGAGGGTGCAGTCCTGGAGAGCCTTGGGGCGAGTGTTGACGCAGTCTAAGAGAGGTTTGGGCCAGCCTTGCATTAGTCTTGGGGATTTTTCCCCAGGGCGCCGTGTCTTATAGAGTGCTCGATTGACCGACTAAGACGAGAGCTGAAACGTATTCCGTTGTGCGTGTCTTATTTGACTGTAAAGTATAAGTGACATTCCCGATCCCGTACCTCAAGGGGACGAGATAGAGAGACGAGACGAGTTTCCCCCCTGACAAGTGTGGAGAACCCAGAGAGAAGAATTTCCCCCTGATACAACACTCGTGAAAATTTAACAAGAGGAAAAAACATTAAATATCATATTAATGATCAGTGTGAAACCTTTATTACTGCAACATCTCAATCAATTCGCAATTTTTTACTTTTACTCGCAATTATATACTGGAGACACCACTTTCTCGATAATGATGTACTCGAAATGAACACAAGTTTACCCGAACTTCGGAATGCTCTTTTTCATATATTCAATGTTAACACGTCGGGTTGCAATGGTCTAACACCGCACTGGTATATTCTTCGGGACAATATTGATATCTATCTATTATA